GACTCCATAAAGGGAAGCGGAGAAATCTTGGAAATTGTTTCGGCCGTGGAGAATGTTGACGCGAGTTGCCACAAGGGTTGGAAAGTTTAAACGACCGGGTGGAGATTATCGCACGGGGGAAATAGAGCGACAAAATTAATTAATGCCGAACGAAAATTAAGTCTTTATTGTAGATTTATTTGGTAAATGTCTCGGAGGGGAGCGCGCACGGGCCAAAGTTGTCGAGTAAGGTTTTAAGCGATTTGTTGTTAAATCGGTGATTTATGAAATCGCTTAGAATAATTTGTCGGTAGAAAGGGGAATGAATATTATATAGGATATAGGGTGGTCCTATTTTCGTGTGTTTTACAGGGTTTCCCGTTTATCAGTAGACGTACAGAGCTGCTGCTTTCACATTACTGTGCTACTTTTTTTATGAAACTAAAGATACACACACACAGATTTGTCCTATCCCTCTTAGTTCTTGAAATACTGAGCGAACTTGAAATTATTGCATTTTCGACTCCCTTCATATCTCGGTTATCTTATAACTTATCGAAATTGTGAAAACTGATCCCCGTAGTGTATTTTAGGTATAATTCAGTGGCGTAATCAAAATAAAATTATATGGTTAAAATAAAATTAAATAAAATCTCTTTTAGCTAGGCTGATTTGTATTTAAAAGTTAATAATGCTTTTTTTATTTTGTTTGTGAAAATAAGTATAGTATATTATATTTTCGGAAAGCTCATAAAAAGGCAAATAAAATTTAAAAAATATACAGGGTTTCATATATTTGAGTTATATTTCAAAAATGACAGCCTTCAGCGAAAAACTAGTTATGCCACTGGATTCTATTGGAGAAACTCAACGGGGCAGTTTTCACATTTTCGATAAGTTATAAGATAGACAAGATAAGTCGCGTCGTCTCCGTACTTCGTGTCAAGCCAAGATACAAAGGAGGTCAAAAAACGCAACATAATTATTGTTTTTAAATTAATTTTCTCGGGGCATTAGGTTCGGAAAACACCGAGTTATTTCTCATTTTGTTTAAAAATCTTTATTTAGTCTATTGACTAAATAAAGATTTTCTTTTTCGGCCATCAATACAGCCTTCATCAGTGTATATGTATATGTATACATCATGTATCATAAAAGAATTAACAAAAATTAATATCCAAAAACATAGAATCTATCACAGCACAATGACATAATATTCACTAAAATTAGTCAAGCAATAGAAATTTGTGCAAGAAAAAGAGAAATACAACACATTTTTTAACTGTCATTTTTAAATCGATTAGCATTTACCAACATTGCTTACCATTGCATATCGATACAATTTCAAAAACTTTAAATTTCCAAGAATATAATTGTTTCGTAATAGAGAAAGTCTCTGAAACTGAAATAAAGTCAAAGGGGCGAAGTTAAGAAAATCGATTCTAATTACGTTCTTCATTAAATTTTAACGCTATTTATTTTAATTAATCAAATCACTTCTTGCTTGTTTTAAGGGATCTGCATTAAATTTGATGTAAATATAGGTATGCGTTTAAGGTTTATTTGTAGTTTTCGAACGGCTTTCGGGTATGCTCTTAAAATGTTAAGTGTTTTTTGTTGGTTATGCAAATTTGTTTTCCAGTAAAGAGCCACTGAGAAATGTATGGAAATTTACGGAGATTTTACACTCAACGCCTTTTGTACAAAATATGTAGACGTTTTGATTTTAGTTAGTTATATTCAAAAAGTGTTAATATAATCAGTGGCGGATACCGAGGGGCGCATGGGACCCGGTCCCCACTAAAATCTATAAATTGGGTTAAATACTATGCTTGTTGGGTTAAAAATGGCTCCCTAAAAAGCGTATTCTACATTACTTTTTATTTGGCACCCCCTAAAATAGATTTCTGTATCCGCCCCTGAATGTAATTGTAATTTAAGTTACCGAAAAGGTATTAAATAAGTATAGTAAAGCGTATAAACGTAATAGTAGAGATGGGCAAAAAATCACTATCTGTGATATATTTACGTAATAAAAGTAGCAAAAAAAATTCACAGTTAACAATTTAAAAAGAAACATGAATGGATAAAACGTGAATGTCAGCAATCTGCCGCGAGTAGTCTCTGCTTGTTATCTGTTATCAAGTTAAACTTCAAAATTAACATTTACTACCTGATAACAATTACTTAGTAAGGTAAAACCAAAAGGCTTCATACTTTCTGTAAGATTATTTTTGTTTTATTTTTAATTTTTAGGTATGTTATGTTTATTTGTGTTACGTTCTCTAAAATCAAAGAAGCGATTGCCATACATTACTAACGTCTACAGATGCATGAGCAATACATTTATTTTTATTAGATTGGATTAAAAAAGCTGCAAAAATCACTATCTATATATTTACGAAATAAAAGTAGCAATTCATAGTTTGAAAAAAAACTGTGAATGGATAAGAGATAAAACGTGTGAATGTCTGCAATCTGTCGCCAGCAAAATCTGCTTGTTATTTAGAAGTGCGACATCAAAATAACCGTCCATACCCACAACGTTTTATGTCGAAAATCGTATAAAGGCCGTCTTAGAGACACGCATGCTTTTCGCTCATTTTGCTTGCACAGTCTTAAGTTGTAATGCAAAACTGAACGTAAGCAATCTCTCTTCATTCTCCACTCTTTAGTTTTCTAAAACAAACATGGATCATGAGAAATTAGTTGTGTGCAGCAGAAGTTCTAATCATAAAAAAATAAAAAAATGTAGGATAACCCCCGACAAATAAGATCGAAAAAAATGGTTACTTATGAAGGAATGATGAAGTCGCAATGATTTCTTCCAAAGTATCCATAACGTCCTATCTTGGAGTTTTTTGGTCGAAAAAAAGAAACAGGTTAAAATACCACAAATTTGGTTTCTGAACGTAATCTATCTAAACTTTTTAATACCTTTAGGAAGTATTTTCTTAATGAACTTATTTTCTTTACCTCCATTCTACTACCATTTACCACCATTCTTTACCACCATCTTACCACCTGCGTTTTTTTGTTTTTGTCAGAATATTCCTTGCTCCTAATTTTCCGTCCACAAACATTAATGTTTTTTTTTATCTGAAACAATAAAATCTGAGAGAAACTCTCGCGACATTAATCTCAGGTCAGCTACATTGCCAAAATGTAAGATTGAACACCAACCAGGACTCTGCAAGGACTCTCGTCTTCTCTGCAAGTAAGTTGGACCACGACTGAAAAATCAACCGGCTTTTGATCGTATTCAAGCCTGCAAAATATGATAAACAAGTCAAGTAGAATGCTGCTAAGGATTGAATTTCAGGTTTAAAAACGCAATAAAATATTACCGGTAAATCATATTCGAATACCGGTAATTTCGATAATCATTAAAAAAATAAATATACACTATTCTAGAAGCCAGACGCCAAATTTTCCAGAACTCAGAAAATGTTATTTCGAATATTTCTTACGACTACAATATATTTATTACAAATTACAATATTTATTGTATCATGCTATTAAGATATTCACAATTTTTAATACTGTTTTAAAAAACCGTAAAAAATATTTGAGCATTATTTACTGTTAAATATGGCACCGAAAAAAAAACCTGTTATAATTTTTAAATGCAGCATTGCAACCAATAAAAGTTCTGGAGCAGTTGCAAAAATTAAATCCTGTTTATAACAAATTTTGCTTTAAAATGTAGGATTGCTACGGTAACAAATCAGAGTACAACTCAAGTGTCCATCAATACTTACATAATCCTGATTGTAAACAATCCGATTCTAAAAATTATGGAATGTAAATAGAACAAAATGCGAAATAACAAAGGCCATAGTGTATAGTATTTTGTTTGTCCAGACGATGCCGACAATGACGCCGACAAAAACAGTAACAAAATTAAGGGTCCCATTAGGATGGTCATCAATTGGAATAGATTCCAATTGACTTCGGAAAGACTTAATAGTTCAACATATCTCAAAGTTAAAAATGAAAAATTCGAACAGGAACGCAATTGATATTGATGGATTCATTAATTCTAACTCAGTCTCTAAAAGGGTCAAAGTTGAATTGCGAATAATAGTCCGGTTCCTTCAACATCGGCAGAAACTCTGTTATCGATTAAGGCAAATTTGTTTCTTTCAATAAGAAAAAGATCAAAAACTAATCAGCTGTAAAATAAATAACATCTATGCGTATTGACCAAACCTTCGAAAGAGAAATGCAATATTTTCAGCAAGAAGGAATTAGAGGATATATTTGAAAATGGTGCTTTAATTTGATAAAGGTTGCTTATATATATTTTTTTCCGCCGGTTCTGGTAAGGAAAAACCAGTAAATATCAGTAAACAGGTTTATTTTAAATGTTTTAAATTACCGTTTACCGGTTAAATTAAAAAAACGGTAAATTTGCAAACCCTATTCACTTTTAAGTACTACATACTGTACTACTACAAAAGAAAATTAAAAATTAGAAATTTGTTAGGAAAGGTTATGTATTTTGTATTTTAGAATGTCACCCTGTACATGAAAGATGGCATAAAGATGTTTTTATTGATAGAAAACTTTAAAAAAGTAGTCAGAAATGTCCCAGTTTTACTACTCTTTTTTATAACGTGGTTTATTATTTTACAGGTTATACATCATTTTCAGCGATCGTCTATATCTTTTTTCTACGGCGATTTTCACATAAAGCCTCTCCGAAAGAGCTTTATATTCTCTGAAGATTAATATTTTCTCTCTCGGGCTCGGATTTGTTTTCCTCAGACAGCGTCTGATTTATAGGCATGGGCCCAATAAAACGCGTATTGGATTTACTATTGGGAATTTTCGCCGCACGTTCCGAGTGGCAATCCAGTAATATTTCTTTTTAGATTGTAACAAGTTTAAGCAAACAGAACAAGGAGTAATGTATACAATTTACGAATATTTATATCAGAAATATATTTCAAAATTCGTTAAATGCATTTTATAATGTTATTTTTGTTTATGTTTTTCTTGTTTGATTTATATTTATTATTCTTTTGTTATCGATTAGTCATTAGCCCTATAACGTTAGTCACAACCTTGATTATGTATAAATAGATGTACAATGAGGGCTTAGTACAAGCCCGTCTTCTAGGTGGCGCCTTGCCCGTTCTGAATTTTTGTATTCCCCTACGATTTTCTTTGAGGGGAATCCGTTAAACCCGCCCATCGTTCAAAAATGGAAGGGCGCGAGGTCACATCTATTGGGCCACTTATTAGCACGTTTCACCCATGTTTTACGAAAATAGCTTTATCCTTGTTTGGTTCAACTGTGACAAGAAAAAAGGAAAAAAAAGTTATATTCGCTTCTAAATTCGGCAGTTTTGTTGATCTTTCTCGACTTGTAATTTCGTTTCGTTTAGGTTATGTCTTATAAAAATAAATATTTATAAGCTTTTGAATTGAAATATACCTTAATGCATATCTGAGTAATTAAAAAATTCAGTTTTTTCGTCCCTCGCGAAGAAACATAAACAGTATTTGTGAAATTTGGATTAGAAACTATTATTTTATTAGTTTATTTTGTTGTGTTTAAGTGTTGTGTATTTGTACCTACTGGATAATATTTTCCAACATATTTAATTAAGCAAAAAGCATCTGTTTTACAGGTAAGTAAATACTGTTCATATTTATTTCTAAATTCATATAAATTTGTTTTAAATCACTCTTGGGAAAAATGTTATAGAGTCTGAGATAAGTTTAATAATAAACATTTGATAGATTGATAGATAGATTAAACGATAATGCCCAGTTTGCTTAAAAGTTTAAAAAAATACTGATTTTATGCTATAAATTGTTTCATTTCTCACTTTGCTTTTTTGGAATTTATCTGACAATTCCATTATTGTGTATTTTATAATTTTTCCGAGAATTTTTCTTAATAACTTGATAACGTAAAATATTTTTTACCTACAGTCAACCCTGTGTTTAGATAAAGCTTCATATCAGATTTCCTATTTTATATTTTCACTCAAATCATATTTTTTGTAAAATATGCTTGCAAAAGTAGCGTAAATTTGACAGGGAGGTATTTTTATAGATATACAGGATGATTCAAATATATATTTACTTTTAAAGTTATTAGTTATGAGCAAAGGTTATGAGTTTGTGAAAAGAAAGGCTATATTTTGTATTTTTGCTTGGTGGATTTGTTATTAAATTGTCATTCCAAAAAATACCATAATGTCGTAGTCGTATAGAGTTCATTTTGACCAAAGAATATATTTTGACCCTTTTTGGATTGAATTTTATTGTTTATATAATAAAATATATATTTAAAGCCCTCTCTTTCTAAGTTAAGTTAAAAATAGGTAATATCGACGTTTTTTACTGGAACTAATTTAAGTTAATAATTAATAATTATATAATTCATATAATAATATTAAAATAGACTAAATTGTTTATTATATACAGGATGAGTCAAAACTAGATATTATATTTTTCTTTGCTATTTCAAATGAAACACTGTATTTTATATCATAAATCAACAAAGCTTTTATGCAACTTTTGTTTTATTAAGATCTATATCCCAAATTAATAGTTATTAAATTGTTTTCAATTGTCTCTTTGCGAATAAACATGATTTGTTTTACGCAATTTTTATTAGTAGGTTTGTCGTCAAAAGTGATGTATCTATTTATCAGCGACAAAAATTAAGAATTAGATGTCTAAAATAATTTCCTAATTATTTTTTTACTTGGCATCAGTAAATATGATTTATTTTATCGATGCAGCTGAAAATAATTATCTATTCTAAAAGAGGACATTGCTGTATAAACATCGATTATGGATTTAAAAATTATTTTTCAAAACAAAGTTGGACAAAATTTTTGGAGAAAAAATTGGACTTCTGTTCGAAATAATTGAGAAAAACCCAACATCTAGTTTTGACGCCCCCAGTATATATCGTGCATTATAGTTGATTATACTGCAATTTATTATACACACGTAGTTTTGTTTGGTGAAAATGAAACTTTCTAAAAGTATTCCCAATTAAAACATATTAAGAATTTCCTACATTATAATTTTGAAAGACGTTTGAGTGGGCAGACAATTTGGTCTAAAATAATCATATGTCTAAAAAAATTAGTCTAAAATAATCAAAAACCACTTAACACATATAACTCGCTTTTAAAAAATCTAAAAGAAATAAGTTTGTTTATTATATTCATATTTTATTAAATTATTATAGGTGTGACTGCTAAGTGGTCGTACTCGCCACTTTAACCAAGCATTGGTGGGACCTTCAGAGATCATAATGCGAATTTCTTCATACCATGTAAATCTATATACATGTATTAATAAATGCGTTTGCTTTATTAAATTTTTTTTCTTATACGGTATGAGCGAAAAAAAACGGCGTCTATTTGTTTACGTACAAATGACATCGATATTCATTTCCAAACCACCTCTGAGGCCGTTTTTTTTTATCGTATGGTATATATTTACATATCCCTTATCCTTTAATTCCGATTTATTTCTAATAATTATAAAAATAAGATACCTGATTAATTCTTCCGAAATATTATAAAATGAGATATCACGAAAGAAATAAAGTTAATTATCTCGTTTGTTTTGGGAATTCCAAAAAAATAAAAAAAAGGGTATAGAGAATCTTTAGAGACACAGTTCAAATGTTATTTTTGAGTATACTGGTTGCTTCAAAAAATGTGGCGGATACATGTTTTTTAATGCAAAACTCCATTTTTATTTTATTTTCGATTCTGCCTAAAATTCTATAACTTTTTTTTATAAATAACGTTAGTAAGTATTTACAATTTAAAAAAAAAGTAAAATTTTATTCCTATGTTACTTAACTGTCAGTTGTTTCCGAAGTTGGACTACACAAATTTGGTAGGAGTGTTTTACAGAGATGAAAAAAAAATATATTTATATGTAAAAATACTTGCAGTTAGATGCTACACTGTGTTCAAACATTTTTTTTGGCTGATCCGATATATATATTATTATTTTTTCTAGTGATTTTACAAAACCTTTCAACATTTGTTAAGAAAGTATATTAAGTACACCTATACTCAACAGCTTGCAATCTGTTCTGAATTTTATCCTTCTTTTAATTCATTTACATTATAACAAGTTGCCATATGACAAAACAAAAATTATTTATTATTAAACATTAAGTAAAGTGATTTATTTAGTTATATGACATTCTTAATAGAAGTTGAAGGATTTTGTAAAATCTATCAGAAAGAATTATAATATATCGGGTGTTTTTCAAAAGTAGCTTGATTGATGTATTCAATTAGTTTCGGTCATTTCTTGTTTCACCGGAAATGACTACAACTTTTGGTTTTTAAATGGTACCGTCGGTATTTTTTTACTTTATTTTGCAGAATATGGCATTCTCAATAGAATAATTCAATGTCAACTTTTGACTCTTTTACTTAAAAAATAGTATTTTAAAGTTCAATCTAGTAGAGTGCCATGATAATAAACAACATGTAACCGGTCGTAAAGATAACGACAGTTTGACTCGACATACGGAGTGTGTGGTACCAAATTATTTACCAAAATTAGGTACCAAAATTTATTAGGTATCAAAAAATGCTTTTCCAAATATGCTAATGAGCCACTCTCGTTTCATTAAAAAAAATTGAGTTATGATTAAAATACGAAATGGGCATATTTCAACTGACCAGGAAAAGACACAAAAAATATTAGACGACCAAATCAATTTTTCCAAAGCTCCTTGATTAATCCTTGATTAAAAAATAATGGTTTTAACACAGCCATGACACTAGATTGAATTTTAAAATGCTATTTTTGATTTAATTGAAAATGTCAAAAGTTGACATATGATTGTTGATGTCAAAAGTTGTCATTCTATTCAGAATGTCATTTTCTATCAAATAAAGTACCGTATGATCGAATAAAAACGGCGTCAGCAATGGCTATGAAATGAAAAGCGCTGTCATTTTATATGTAAATTTATATGAGAAATGTCATCGATGTTCATTTCATAGCCATCGCTGACGCCGTTTTTATTCGATCTTACGGTATAAAAAATACCGAGGGTACCATTTAAAAATCAAATGTATACATTTCCGGTGAAACAGGAAGTGACCGAAACTAACTGAATACGAATCAATCTCGATTTATGTCATATACCTACTAACATTCCCAATTTAGTTTTTTTCTCGGAATCTGAAAAAATAAAAAAGTTATAGAGGTGAACCACTTTAAAAAAAAACACTCAGTATAGGCTGTGTCATTGAAAGAGTCTGCAGATATTTTTTTAATTTTAAATACGTAGAATTAACCATTAATATATGTTGAACACCCTGTAGCATCTGCCTTAAATATCTACATAGTATCTAATATTTTTTCTTCATCAACAAATTGAAATATTAGAAAACTAGTTTTAGGTTACACCATTATACAAGGATTATACATAAAAAAGTAATAATTTTACGCAGGATCTAAAATAAAATAGGATGTTACATTTAAAAAAAAACATTATGTTAAATCCGTCATACTTTTTACAAAGTTACAGAGGTAGGTAGGTATAGTTTCATATATTTTTTTTAATATCCATCTAGAAATAAAATATATACATATATACCTAATATAATAATTTAGTATTTAACAAGGGGCCATGAAAATCAAAATAAATATAAATCCATATCCAAAAATAAAAAATGTAAATAACGCTTTGAGGTAAAAATTCGGTTCAAAGCAGATAAGATATTTTATTCTTTACCGAGAATTAAATTCGAAGAATTCCTAGTCCCTACTTCTTTGCCAAATTCAATAGTCTCCGCCCCTTTTTACGTTTTAATTTCTGCCACCAGTTGGCAGCATCGACTTATACAGGCACATTGACTAACTATTAATATATAAACAAGGGTCACAACAAAGATTCATAACGCTTCTTTGACAAAGAGTTTTTCAGATTAAATATTTTTAGCGTTTTAAATCAGAATTTATTAAATTTTACTGAGAACTTCAATCTAAAATAAAAAAGAGTGTCTGTTTAAAACAAAAAAAAATTGTATAAATTATGGGTATTTAGTAGATTTAGTGGTAGATATTGCAGATGTTCTAGAAATTAAAATGGAATCTAAGCAGGGAACACCTTATATACAGTATGTCCCCGGATTGTCTTTAGAAGAGAAAAAACTTTTTTATTATTGACATTTTGAGAAATATTAATTCTTCACAAAAATGTTTTCTTGTTCTAAAATGGTTATATCCCGTTTATAATTTTCGAAATTTCCATTCCGTTTTAGAGAAAATTAAAAAAAAACATGAAAATATTATTGAATTTTCACTAGTAATACCACTAGAGGTCAAATTATTTCCGAAAATTTTTTCGAGCTCATGAATATTTCGAAAATTATTCCGAGTCGAAGACGAGGGATAATTTTCTAAAAAGATTCATGAGCGAGAAAAAAATTCCGGATTTAATTTGACCTCGTGTGGTATTCGGTAAGAAAATTCCACACCAAATTGTGTTTGAAAATCAAATAATTAAAATGTATTTTTCGATTTTTGGTCGACTGGATTATTGAGTTACTATGACAACTAAGTGACACCCAAACCTAAAAACTATTTCAGTTTTGAAGTTGTCAAGCGGCACGGCTTAAAAAATGTTTCGCTTCGGTCAAGAAAGCAAAGAAAATATTCGCCAGGAGATTAAGCAGTTGACCCCGCGAATACTAGGAAATTGAAGTCAAGCGTATGGAAGCAGTTTACAAACTTTTGCGCAGAAAAATCGTATGATTTCGACAGAGCGGATATACCTGTGGAAGAACTGGCGCTTATTCTTGAAGACTATGGGTTCAACATGCGAAAAAAGAACTCTGAAGACTACAAGGAGAGAGTTATCAAAGTTTTATGGAACTCCACAGCTTAAACTACTCAAAATTCAAAGTGCTAAATGGAAAAAAGGTGAATAAAATAGTGTCTAAATATTATATATATTTCATTAGAGATAGACATTTATTTCAGTCCATTCCAAGTCCTACATTTTCGCCATTAAGAAGAAAGGAGGTGTCCAAAGAATATAGAAAACATCTCAGCTTTGTAATTGAAATGTATCAAAGTTTATCATGTAACCAAATAAAAACCAGACTCTCAAAAAGATATTCTGTCATTATAAACGTCAAAAAATTTCCAGTATTAATTCGCTGTTGGGTGCCCACAAGGAAAAAAATTTCACTAAAATTTATCCGTTGCCATGGCAATTTGTCAAAAAGACACGTTTTGATTGGTTAAAAATTACAGGTGTGGAATTTTCTCTAAAGCTTCATTCAGAACCTCGAAATCAGTGGAATAAATTAGTAGTTTCAATCAATTAGCCGTAGAAGTTTGTTCACCTAATTTTAATGTAAGCATTCAGAACGTCATAATTAGTGGTAGTAATTTTCAATTAGTGGAAAAAGTTAACAAACTTTTGACTCTTCCACTAATTATATACTTCAAAATTTTGCGAGGAATGTCATTTTGGCCTTTGATTATCACCCGCTTTGAATAAGAAGACTAAGGAAGGAGCATAATGCTATCCATGTATTCATGCATGGTGGGCGGAAAAACCACTCTAGGGTGGGGATCCTTGACAGTTCTGTTTGATGATTCATTTGACACATTTGAATTTGATTTGAAATTTTGTGGATTTGTCAGTTTTTACGGAGCTTATTTTATGTTATTTATTATTTATTCTACTACTGATAGTTGTATAAAGGTAGTAAATCTAGATGGAAATTGTGGCAGAACTTAAATTAACAGTGACACTATCACGATTTATCGAAAAAGACTCTAAAATAGTTGGTTGTGTAGCGTGCGGTAGATCTCGGCAAAAATTGAGTGAAATAATGGCCAAACCATTCACAACCAAACAACTTTTCGCTAGTAAGTAACTATATAATATACACATACGTGTAGTAAACCGATCATTTATGAAATTCACTTAAATTAACTAAATCGATGTACTTAAACAGCCGTTAAACGGTAGCCTACTAAAATGGCGTTAATAGATATTGTGACGTCGTTCATGTCGGCGGAAAGTAATGCCTAACCTTAAGCATTTTGCAAGAGATAAAATTAAAGCCAAACATGTGTAAATATTATTTGTTATTTTAAAACTTTTATTTATAAGTCCAATATTTAAACATCGTTTATTATAATAAAACAAGACCAACGTAATACACCCAAAGTTTTGTAAATGGAGTAAATATAAATAGGTACTTAAATGATGGCAAAAATAAAAGACTTACATTAGATTTTTAGGGCGACAAACAAACGGAATTGTCTAATTAAAACACATATAACAAATTATAGTTTGAAAAACGTTTTGATA